TATGTCTCACATTTGTTCAAAAGAAATAAGTATAAAAGCGAGTTAAGTTCATCATTTCTTGTAAAAATATTTTCAAAGCTCAATCAGAAGAGATTATTTTTTGTAGATTCTAGTGTCTTTATTCTTATCTTTCAATAAACAAATATAAATTATACCAATGCATATGCTAATCGTCTTGCAAATACACGAAATATTTCTCCATGTTGAGCTTGTATATATCGTAAACAACGTTTATTTTGTAATAATTCAACAGGACTAAAAAAAATGATATAAATTCTTTTTCTTGCTATATAAAATATTTTTTTTTGTTTTTACTTTTCACAAATAAGATCAGTTAAACAAATTGTTTGTTGAATATGAAAATCATCTGTTAATATAATTTGTACATCAACAAAACCATCATTATCCATCATATCTTGACGACGTTTTAAAAGATATTTTCTTAAATAATTAAATTTAAAAAAACTATTTAATACAAAAAAAAAAAAAATTTTCTTACTTATCATAGTCAAATCTTGTTATTAAATTTTGAGGGATATCTTCCTGATTAATATCACATAAAACATCTTCTATAAAAAGAAAAAAAAACAAATAACAAATATTATTTTTTTCTGTAATTAAAAATTAAAAATTTACTTTGACAATCTTCACGTATATAAACAAGCATATAAGCTGATGTATTATACATACTACCATCATCATCTTGTGTACCACCAAAATTTCTTTCCATAGCATCACTTGCTGCTACTCGTGCAACAACATCATCATCAAATTTAAACCACTAAATATAATAGATTAACATATTTAAGAAAATAAAAAAAAAATTATTTTCATCTTACTTGTCCATCTAATGCTGGATTAATAAATGATACATAATGACCACTTGAATTATCTCCACTATGTACTAATATTGATAATAATTTATATGAACATAATGAACAATCAGGATTTTCAAGAAATTCACTTAAATCAAGATGATAATCAAATGAATAACTATCATTTATTTTTCGATGTTGAGATAAATTATAATCATATTCAAAACGTAATAAATGAAGACAAAGTACGGGTGGAAATTTTTGAAATTTAACACCTTTTTCTGCTTCCTAGATTTATTTCAATGATAAAAAAGAATAGAGGAAATTCTTTATTTTTATTTAAACAAACCTGTAAACCATGAATACTACCAGCATCATATAAATTTTCACCTGTTAAGATTTCACTTTTACAAAAATCTCGAAAACTTTCCGTAACTAATTTACAAAAACAAAAACAAAACAAATCATCAATTAATATTTTATAATAATTATATTGATTACTTACTATTAGCATTATTTCGTACTTGTAATGGAACATCATAAAATGTTTGTTTTACTCGAGATTCATGATCAACTTTTGTACATCGAACATATTGCTTAATAAATAAAAAAAGAAAATAAACATGTCTATTCAGGTATATTATACGAATTTCGGTATAGGATAATCAAAACATATAATAACTAAATGTAATATAGAACCGTTTGAAGCTGGCGATGTCTACATTATTCTAACTGCTTTTCAATAGAGAAGAAAGCATTTGCTTTACAAATAGCTGTCATGACTAGAGATGTGAGATGATCGATTCATCGGCAGTGGCTGAAAATTTTCGATGTTTTTTTTTTTTATTTTGAAGTTTTTTTATTTCCGTGAAATTTTAAAATACAAAAGAAAGAACATGATGATAGAGAACATTGTGATAAGAAATCAGACATAAACATTCTCTGAAAGCTGATCTTAGATATCGAAAGTTTTCGAAAAATCAGCAGTGACGACTCAGTCGATCGACTTACATCTCTAGGTATGATCCGTAAAGTCATAAAGCTCATAGTTTATACGATGCCGGAATAATTCGTTGCATGACATATTAGTCGTAACGCATCCAGAAGGAGCATCGAGAGTGAGTGGGTATGTGAATAAGAGTATACAAAAGATTCTCATTCACACCGACACTTATATCTACACACCCGCGGCGAATTGTTCCGTCATCAGATTATGCTACCTGCTATCTCGTACATACTCTAGTATTTAGAATATTCGTGAAATAATTTCTGCCTTAAAAGAATTAACTTCTGCTTACGATTTGCTAGACTCTGAATCATTCAACAAATAATTTAGACGATAAGTAATCTTTGAAATCGAGAGTTTAACGGTTTGTTTAAATACAAAAATTAGGAAATTAATCGATCAGATATAATCTCAATTAAATTAACGTTTCGAAAAATATCGATTAATTCTTTCTAAATATTAAAAGGTAATTTACCACATATTGTCCTTGGAAAAGCGATGGAATAACACCTTCCATAGTTGTACCTTCCATTTTGGACTCTAATTTATCAAGTAACTACAAAATAGTAAATATTATATAATGTTACAAAAAAAAATATACAATATATAATTATGGAAAAGATCCAACCATCTTCTCTCATACTTACCACTCGACAAAATTCTTGTATATCATGTTGACAAAATTCATCTGGTTTGTCCCATCCGAAAACACGAAAGACAAAAAAAATTTATACATCTGATAATTATAAAAAATAACGAGAGTATACCCAAATGAACGTGTCAACTTTTTTGTACTGACTGGTCGATCAGTAAATTGAAGATCATAAAAAAGTTTTTGTAAAGCAAGTGGAATGCTATGTAATTGATCATCACTATCCGTTGGCAAAGCATACACAGCCTAAATATAAACATATTATTCAACAGAAAAATATGAAAGAGTATATTTGTCCGTTGGATATTTAATCAACCTTTATCTTTCTTTATAGTCTATTGTTACAAATACTTAATCAATAATAAAAATTAAACTTTAGACCCAGATTTGGAAGGACTCACAGCTCTCTACGGTCCATCATAGAAAAAACATAACAAAGGAAAAAAAATTATAAAATCTTTTGTTTTCTGACGTTCCATCGTTGGTGGATAAAGGTCTCAATTGAGTACTCAACTAATCAGTTCAATTTGTGAAATTAATAAGGTATGCCTGTTATATTATATTTATGAAAATTTTTATTGAATGATAGAGCAATAATCCAAGTTTTAAGAAATTTCAACAAACCCGTCGTAGTTTTTTAGTAAAATAAATTGTTTGTAAAAATGAATTCATATAACAAGTTGCACCAATATTTCTCAAACCAACAAAACCAGTTTGTCCTTTGGAATCCCATCTAAAATTCAAGATTTTCATAGCATTTTTTAGGTACACAAAAAAAAAATCTTTAACTTACTCAACATTACGTGGAGCATCAGCATGAATTTTTGCTTCAATTCGAATTGTATTATCTGGCCAATGAATAAATTCACTATAGATTTCCTAAAAATTGACAAAATAAAAAAATAAAATAATAAATAATATTTTTGTAAAACATACTTTTAATGATTTAAATTGATGAAAACCCCAATCAATTGAACGTGCATTAAATAAATGGTTGATTTCTATTGTAAAAAAAACCAAACAAATAGAAAATAAAATAGAAAATAAAATTAAACAAAATACTTTTCACAAAATTTTTATTCGAATCAGTTGCATGTAAAAGAGTTAATTCAGCTTTAGCAAATATTGACCAACCCGGTGAAAGTTTTTCAGGTTCACATTTAAGAAAAAGACTAAATGTTCCACCATCATTATGACAACTATCATAATTTGGTTTTGAAAATGCTAATAAAGTCCATATAAATGTACGAATTATTGATTGATCACTTGTTAATTGACCAGATTGTGGTCGTGATGGTGCAATAATATGAAAACGAATTGAACCATCGTAACGAAATACTACATAGAAGAGAAAAAAAAAGTCTATTATGTTTTGTTTTTATCACTATTTATTTACTATCATCTTTTCCATTATCAAAACTGACATGAACAATTGAATCATCAGAAAAACATTCTGGTTCAGCTTCAGTTGCTTCATCATCATCGTCATCATCATCATCATCTTCATCATCATCTTCTTCTTCTTCGGATCTTTCTGATTGAACTGGTGAATGACCTTAATTAAAATATAAAAAGAAAAGAAAAATAATGTTTTTTTTTTTATTATTTATAAAATAAACGAATGATTTTTACCATTGGTTACGCCATTTTCTTGTTCATATCGATCTTCTTGAGTTTCATCATCATTTTCAGATTCTGTTGTATGATGTGATGATGAACGTCGAAGTTTTTTTGATTGTGGAGAATCACTTGGACTTGATGATTGTATATTATTATCTGTTAATGCTGAATTATTATCATTTGTTGTTGCTGAACAGTCTTCAGCAAGAAAACTTCGTTTAATACCACTCATTTTATTGTTAAAATTCGTCGAAAATGGCTCATTTTCTAAAAAACGTGTTCATCTGTTCAAATAGAAAATTGCTTTATATACATGCTAAAGGTTTCATTCAACTGTTGATTTATATGACTCATCAAGTCGAAATCATAATAGAGAAAAAAAAGAAAAGAAAAAAGTCAATTGAATTATTAGTTGTTTATTTAAATATTTTTCAGCATATATATTAAGTTTAGAAAAAAAAGAAAATTTTGATACACTTTGGAATTCATTAATTTTTTTTTTATTTTTTTGTATTGATATATTTTAAGAAAAAATATTTAAATAGGTAACGACATCTATGGAAGATAAAGAGTAATTATCAAGATTGAGATAAAAAGTCTATGCATTCGATACACATGTGATTTATTATCTTTTATGTGATTAGTTTTATAAAATAAAAGATATCAGAAATAAAGTTAAATGAAATATCTGAAAATACAGCCAACACAATTTTTTAATAATATATGCTTCTTGCATAATTTCAATGTCTAACTGTAAACGAGGCAATATCAATATAGTACATTTAAATCTGCGTTATGCTCGTCTTATAGATAATAATGCAGAAAATGCTGATGATGAACATATATGCGGTCACTTTATTTGGTCTTGATTTCATCTTTAAGAATTAAGATGATCCGTTGATTATCTAGAAAAGTTCTTCATTCAAAATTTCAATTATCTTCTATGGAATGACAGAGCTTTTTAGCGAAGTACTTGATGAACTACCCTCAAAACATCGAATCATTTTCGATATTGATGCAATTAGAACTCATTGTGATTGTGTTTCAGATATCAAAGTCCATCGTGTAACTTATACAACTGGATAAGTTGTTTCATTTTGAATAAAATACTTGTAATTTCGAACCAAATAGCTCTTGAGAGATTGATTGGGCACTCAGCATACTGCTGTTATTGTATTTTACTTTTTAAGAATTATTAAATTTTTTGTGGTTTGAGAATTTCACTTAGCCGATAGTTTATTTGATTTGCTTGGAAATATGAATGATATAAAATCAGAAATCTTTTCATATTATCTTATATTTGTTTAGTTCATGTTCATCTAATTGTGTAAAACCATTGATTCTAATGATTTTTATTGATTTCATAATTAATTCAATTCAATGAAAGTGACTTCTAAATAGTCTAAAATAATTTTGATATTATCTGAGAATTTTTATATTGTACAGAAAAGTTGGTTTAAAGAACTATTGATCTAGTAAAGCGATTCTTTTAAAAAAATACACACTCGTGTATATTTTGTATAAGCAGTAGTATCCTGATGGTTTCGATGACATTCATTATATCAAACTTTGATGGCATGAAACGGTATTTGTTAATTTTCTCTGATTTGATTTAACTGTATAACGTTATGATCGAAACTCATCATGATCATGTGCATCAGATTCAGTTTGATCTGATTATGAACGATTGTGAATATTTTATTCATTTTGTTTTTTTATTCATCAAAAACTTATTTGCTAGTCAAACCTTTGCCATCGTAGAAGATTGTCCTTTTGTATTAATTCAGCTGCGCATTACTTTCGTCCTCTTCAAATGTGTTCGTTTTGATCTACTTTATCATAATCATCACTATCTTCTCCAAATATATGTTTATCTAGATAGAACTTATCACTATTATCATCTTCAGTTCAACGTTCACTTTGTACCAAATCTTCGTTGTTATCACTACCGTATTCTAACGTGTATCTATTAAGTTCGAAATTTTTGTTAATTTAATTGTTGTCAAAATTAAACAGGCCTCATCCATGAAATTACGATAGCCTTTCTCTTCGAACATCATCAAGAACATAGGAAACATTGGATAGACGTACCGGCATTAATTGACTTCCTAGAAAAAGCAATGAAAATCTCGAACTCTATTGATTACACCCTGACATAATAATTAAAGTTAAAAGAACAAGAAATAAAACGAATAGTTTATTGGCGTTTGAAAAACTTACCTTATTAATGAAAAATATGGAACAAAATCCATTAATATTTCGTTTGTACCTACTGCTTCTTTTTTTAAGTAAAATCTACGAAAATAAATTTTAATCGATATTGTCTACTTATGTGTGAAAGCTTCATAAAAAAGACACAGAAATTAAGAATGAAAAGATTTATTTTGTTCATTAACGTCAAAGATTTGTTAGAATTTCTGAAAGCGTATCTGTCTAGACAGAATAATGTAAAAACTCAACAAGCGATCAATGTAATCATGTTGATCGATGGATGTTTCCGTGTTTATTTTCAATTTTTGCCAATGTCTGTGGTGATTCTAAAAATCGAACGTGAACAACAATGTAAAGGTTGTTTTAAACTATCGATCATAGATGAGCCGCATTCATTATTCGCTTTGACGGGCTAGATCTAACTCACGTATAACTTCAATCCTCAAGTTGGATCGTTCAGTAAAATATAATACTTCAACTGTCCGTCACAAATTAATACTTTCGAAAGGAAATATATATCTAGTCTTTGACAACTCATCTTTTTCGAGACATATTGATAATCAGATCAAATTGAGTTATATATATTTTCAAAAAAAAAATAGTGAGTTTAACTTTTAAATCAAAGTTTTGAGCTTCCCTTCCCTTCATTATGGACCTTAACCAGCGAGGATAATAGGCGTCAGACTCTGTTTCTAGAGTTTCTTAGTGACGACAAAAGGCACTGAATAATATTAACGACAGGACTTAGACGATTCTAGAGAATTCTAGAACATTCCAAAGTCATTCTCAACATTTAAACGGCTGGACTACGTTTGAGAATATTCTAAATAGTGCAGTTTTGGATTTCTGCGCAAATAAAAATTTATAGGGTAAGATGTCAACGATGATAGGTAGTAATGCATTGATTTGCTAAGTTGTCATACAATCAATATAAAAGGACGTGAACTGGCCAAGTTATAAGTTTAGGAAACAATTAATGTCAGTGCTTGTAAGCTTATCGAGATATATAATAGTGCGTTGACATCCGTTGTATAGATGTAATGGATATATGTACAACAGGCTTATTTACCAGTTAAGTCAATGATTAGAATGACACTAATGTAAAGTTAAGAAAAACAAGATACGAAAAAGAAAATTAACGAGCACACAGCAATAAGGCAAACAAAAAAAGAGGGCGCCAGTAAAAGATAAAAGGAAGCTTCGGCTCGATATGCAGCCCCACACCTACAATACATAACTCACACTACATACACAGCCACACCTGAAACTGCCAATGTTGATGTCATTACAGAGCTACTGGTATTATCATGCGGACCATTAGAATGTTTTTAGATGAACAATCAAAAATTGCTAGAGTAACAATGAAAAGTTTGACGATTGAGATGAAATATGTTATAGAGAAGTCGATAGTTTGTCAGTATTGAAGTGCTGCCTCATAAAGTTGACAGCTCTTGTACGAGAATTTATGATTCGTTGGCGCATTTTGAAAAAGTAAGTGTTCTTTGATTCATCATCACAAATTGATCGCTCGAGTATAGCGGTACCAGACACGGCAACAATGAATACAGTCTATCAATGTGAAAACATAGTAGAAAATCAACATCGAAAATGTATACCAATATAGATTTCGGTGGCAATAGTTTGGTTCATGAGATTTATCGAACTGAATGCGGCTCTTGGAGCCGAATATCCATGCGGAGCCAGCAATAAACCAAGCGACATTAAAAATACTGATGAAGCAGAAGGAAATTCCTAAGATATTATCAATACGAAAACGTCGATTAGTGTCATAACGCCACCGATGTTTCAGTAGTGCCGCCAGAACGAGACTTACAATGACAACAGAGTAGAGTACTCCTTCTATCAGTGTGAAGTGCGCGATCATTACTTGCACGGGACACTGCTTCAAGTATACAGCCCCAATAACAAGCATTGGTATTGAGAAAAGAATCATTGTAATACACGAGCAATATTTTGAACATGACCATTCTTCATTATCTCGAGTACTGAATAAACAAATAACACAAAAAAAGCTTTTCAGCGTGTTCGCTGCAGGATTAAAATGTAAAAAAAAGATAAAGGCACGTTGACCATGATGGAAAATCTTCGCTATGACGATCACAGTTGATTGGGGAGATCTGAGACCAGTATGTCGAAAATTTTTTGAATATTACAGACCATGAGAGAGAGCTCAACATGCTTCTCATAGTGTATGTGACAGGTTGAGACGGATCCACTTTTCTTGCTATATGGTTCAGCATATTAGAAATCATATTTCACAATGGGCGACCCACAAAGAACGTCCGAGAAGAAGGTAGAGAGGCGTCAGGGAAATGTGGACAAACTCGGACAGAAAGAAGGAGTCCATCACATACGAATGTCCGGATGCGTGTTATGAGTTTTGCTTTTTTTATGAACTCTAAAATTTCGACGTTAATAAGATTTGACAGTGGTTTTAGAGTATTCAGATCATTTGATAGTATGAGATTGAATAATAAAGTCACGAGAGTAACTAAACTACCAAACATTTTTATTGATTGATTTGTTCAATACGTGTAACATTTTGTTCTTGCAAAAAACATCAACAGACATAAGTTTAGCAAAATGAGAAAATTTGAGAGAATCTCGAAGAAACAACAAGACAAAATAAACAACTTCTTTCATTCCTTTTCATTCCAAACAGTCCAATGCAAATGAATTATTCTCTTCCTTAAATTGGAATGTTTGAAATAAAAAGAACGAAAGCAATTTTTTATTTTGTCTTGTTAGTTCTTTGGGATTCCCTCGAATTTTCTTCTTTGCTGAATTTGTGTCTGTTGATATTCTTTGCAAGAACGAAATGTTACACGTATTCAACGAAACCATCAATAAAAAATATTCGATCGTTTAGTTACTCTTGGGATTTCTTTAAAGTATTCCATATTAGAATTTTATGGCGTCTCAACTATAAATGAATGAAATATATGAATTACAAAATAAGAGTGTTTCGCTTTTCTGTCTGCTATGTACTACCACGAAAGA